GGCAGGGGAGCACAAAAAGGAAGGAAGAAAAATTGCTGCCCATTATACCTGTCCTTTGGCAAGGCCGGGTAATTAGCAAACCCTCAGCAGTAAAATATTTCGTTTTGGTATAATTGCAAAGTAATTATGTGGTATGGGTTGTGTATCAATCGTGTTGATTAATAACACTCAGGTAGTAATTAAACATCTGCTTCATAATCGTGTGCAGGCTGAAGCTCAACATTCATGCACTCATGCATGCATGCAAAGCTCCTTGGTCGCAGTGGTGCTCGTGTGTGTGTGTGTGTGTGTGTGTGTGTGTGTGTGTGTGTGAGAGAGAGAGAGAGAGAGAGAGAGAGAGAGAGAGAGAGAGAGAGAGAGAGAGAGAGTTAAGACACCCTCCCTTCCCTATCATACCTTGAGGTCTTTCTGTCCCCATCCTTCCCCTGGGACACAGGGAGGCACTGAGCTGGTCCTGAGGCTGTGCCACCCTGAAGCCCCTCTCAGACCAGTTCCTCCCCTTCCTCCCGTGTGTATCTCCTTTCCGCTGAGCTGCCTGGCCCAATGGGTTAGCATAGGGGTTCAAGGGCACCATACATGACCATGTGCTGGAGCGTTTTAGAGCTCCCCATGTCATAATCCATGTTAGACGGAGTGCTTCTAGGCTCCTTTCTTAGGCAGGCTACTTTTCCCAGCAGCCAGATGCCCTATGGCTCATCCAATGCCCCCACACACCCTTTAGGCCTGGATCGAAGGATCTGCTCCCAGAGGCTGTGGGGACCAGCGCAGGACACGAGGAAGGAGCCAGGAGCCATGCTCTGGCGTGAATCCCACCCCACTGGCTCAGGTTGGGTCAAGGTGCTCTCCTCCTTCCCGCAGGTTCCAGCTCCATCAAACAAAGAAAACTGAGCTTAGCGGCCTCCAAGGGCCTTTCCAGATCTGCTACACTCAGACCCCACTTTGGTTTGTACTAATTAGGGATCGGAGACGATTTAAATTCAATACATCCGATCCTTAGTGAGTAAACAATCAGAAATAATTCCTTCCTTTATGACTTCTCAAAGACTCACTCATGAGCAATGAGAACCCAAGCTAAAATCAATAGCTTTTATTTCTCAGACAGAGGAACTGCAGAATCCCCGAGCTGCTGGGCACTGCAATTCATTCTTGTATTTTAAATTTTTATGTTTATGTTTATGGACTGCCATTAGGTAATACAGATCTATCCCGAAGGTTGACTTTTTTCATTAACTTAACTCATTTCAGTTATTAGTTCACGTTTATAGCTTGGGTTTAATAAGCGCATCGTGCAAAAGTCATAAAACAGCCCCTTTTTTAAAAGCAATATTTTAAAATTGAGACTCTTCTCTGAGTCATCCCCGTTTTATTTGCTCATAACTTGCTTCTCCTGTGATGTGAGGCCCAGTGGTGCCAATCCCAGCCAGGCATTTGCCTGGAGCTTCAGCACCTCATTTGCAACAGGGAAGGGCACCGCTGATTAATAAAAGCAATAAATGCTTACATTTTAGAAAGCAAGCACCCAACAATCACTCACTCACTCACTGTGTTTTGAGTGCTTCTCATATATTATACTAGAGGCCTGGTGCACGAAACTTGTGCATGGGGCGGGGGTGAGAGGGTCCCATCAGCCCAGGCTGCACCCTCTCAAAATCCAGGACCGCTGGTTCTTAACCGCTCACCTGTCTGCCTGATTCCCTTAACTGCTTGCCTGCCTGCCTGATTGCCCCAACCACCTCTGCCTCAGCTCCCACACCTGGGACCCAGGCTTTCCTCCTTCAGCCAGCTGCAGGCACCTGAGACCCAGACTTCCCTCCCTCTGGCCAGCTGCAGGCACCTGGGACCCAGGCTTCCCTCTCTCTGGTCCGCTGCAGGCACCGGGGACCCTGGGCAGCTTCGCCCAGGCCCTGGCTTTGTCAGGAAGGATGTCCAGTCTAATTAGCATATTACCCTTTTATTAGTATAGATTGTCTGGTTGCATCCTACATCCCTATGAAGTGGCTTTATTATTTTTTTTTTCACTTTACAGAGAAGGGCACTGAGGCCCAGAAAGGTTAAATGAGCTGCCTGAGGTCACACAGTTGATGACAGTGGTAGAGCTGGGATGCAAACCCAACATGTCTAAGTCCAGTCACCATCTTTCCCCCGATATCTGTCTCCCTCTCCCACCCACCCTTTTCATCATCTCTTTACTCACCACCTTTATCACCAGGCCCTTCCCATCCTCCTTTCAGTCTCTAATCTCTTTCCACTTGCCTGGGCTCCCTCCTGCTTCTTATCTACCTGGAGAATACCTCTGCTCTATGACCTTCCGTGGCTCCCCATTGCCTATGGGTGAAGTTTCTCACCCATAGCCCAGTATCATTCGAGGACCTTGACCATTCCTCCCTGTCTCATTTCCTAGGCAGTCTTGGCTCGTGGTCCTGAACACCCACACACACCTGGGTACCTCCATGCTTTTGCTCACCGTGGTCCCTTTGCCTGTGATGTCTTCCTCTCCGCTCCACACATCCAAATCTGCCCCCTCTGTCAGAAAGCCTTCCTGAGGCTCAAGAAAGAAGGGCCCCTCCCTTCTCTGAACTCGGAACCAAGGGATGCGCCCTCCTTCGCCTCCTTGAACTATGAAAACCAGGTCCCTTAACAGTGAGCTGCTTTCGAGGTGAAATGTGTGCCTCACTCATCCCTGGCACCTTCTGAGTACTGGCTATACAGCAGGTGTTTAATGAATGCTCACTAACATGAGTGAATGCTCCTGTGGCTTGTGACCTACAGGGAAATGCCCGTGTCCTCTCTGTGGCACTCAGGGCCAGCCCCGTGCAAAGTTAGGGAGACATTGTCCACGTTTTATCAGCTCTCAGTGTAAGGCGCTGATCACAGGCCTTTTCCATCTCATTTCCTGCTCTTCCCGAGGCCCCAATCTGGGTATCTCTGTGCCTTTGCTTACCCTGGCCCCCATGCCCACAGCACCCTCTCTCCTCTCTAGATACACACGTCTGCCCTCTACTCCAGGAAGCCCTAATGTGCCTGCTGGGGTCATCAGGACACTGGAGGAGGCGGGGGGGTGGGGGGGAGGAAGCTTTCTTTGGTATCTGCCTATGAGTTATTAGAGCCCTGTTTTAGATCTGGCCCTGAGAGACTGCAGGGACCATTGGCGGGTCCAACACCCCCTCTCACAGGGAGAAGCCAGGGCCCCCCGGAGGAGGTGTGCCTGAGTGCTCACATCCTGGGACAGGAACCCAGGACTGTGCCTGCAGGTCCACAGAGCCTCCTGCTGTCCCCTCCTGGGGATGAAGGAAAGCCCTCACCCCCAGCCATGGGTCTGTTAATGGGATGGGCGGTCTGCTTCTCTTAATAGGTGTGAGGGAGCATGGCCTGGGGTGAAAATGAAAGATGGAGGCTGGGGGTCATCCCCGATGAGCCACTTCATCAAGTGAATTGGGAGGAGGCCCCGAGGGGCTGACACACACATGCCGTCCTGATGGGGCTGGAGCAGGGGCCCCGGGCAGCGGCAGCGAGCCCGTGAGAGAGGCACAGCTGCATAGCATGCTGCTAAAACAGCCTCCGTTGTCACCTCCTTCCTGCAGCCATTTGTTTACTTCCTCATCCTACCCTCCTGGAGAAAGTGGAGAATGCCACCTCTCCTGGGGATCTGTCCCACCCCACCCGCCTCTCTCCACTTCTCACACGCTGGCTGCCGTCTGGTGTGACATTAGCGTGACATTAGCGTTCCCCAGCTTGCGGAGCGCTAATGACATTTGCATCTCGCTGGCTGGTGAAACGTGGGCTAGGGCTCGGGGTCCCATGGGCAGGTGGGGCGTGTGCAGCCCAGAGGGAGAAGCGGATACGCTGGGTGCGGGCCACGCGGGTCACGGAGAGGCAGAGAAGAGGGGTAAAGGTGGGTCGGAAGGAACAGTAATGGGTGGCACTGAGAGATGTTTGTCTAAAGAGGTGCTAAGGACAAAGAGCAGCTCCTGGTCCGGTGCTCCATCTCCCAGACAGCACTCCCAGCATTCTCTGCTGTGTTGCCTCCCTAACATCTATTGAGCGCTTGCTCTATGCCAGATGCTCTACTGAGGGCTTTACAGACTCGGGGAAGCCATCTTTACTCCCTGCAGTTCTTGAAGACAATGCTGTCCTTATCCCTGTTTTACAGACCTGGAGATCAGGTGCCCTGGGCTCCCGGAGTTGCCCCGGGCCCCACTTCTGGAGAGAGGTTGTCCCAGCATGGGGCGAGACCCACCCACTTCTAAAGCTGATGCTACTGTGGGCACTGCCTCCCACACCTTGTCCCGGCTTAAGCACAGCCAGGAGACCATCCTAGGCCCCGGCCTTTCCCAGCATGCACCTGACAGGCAGGCAGCAGACCCTGGCTGTGCCCCCTTCGCTGCTCCCGGGGCTGCAAGGCTGACAGCTACAAAGGAGGGAACATCCGTAGAGAGAGCACCCAGCAGGAGAGACCCCAGGTTCAGGCCTCTCTCTGCTGCCAACTTGCTGTGTGACTTTGGACAAGTCACTGCCCCTCTCTGGGTGTCTGTTCTCCTTGCTGGTAAAATGATGCCATGGGTCTGGCTCCATGGTGCATTCCTAGAATGCATTTGCATATGCACAAGGATTTTTTCTTCTATGTACTTGAACGATCCCGCCGGTTCCACCCCCTTGCTTGGAGGTATAAAATGATGTTTTATGTTCAAGCAAGCCCTGAACATTTGCTGAGCATCCCCACTCTGCAAAGTGCACCGTGCTAGACGCAGCGAGATGCTTACGTATTTTTTCTTTCCGGGCATACACACACAGGCATATGCATATCTTTGCGTCTCAGAATTGTCTGGCTTCCCAGTCCTGATGAGTAACCTCAGTCTCCTGCAGTCTTTGCCTCATCACACTGCCTCCTCGGGGCCCAGAGAGCATTTCAAACAAAAACAAGAGACCTCAGGCAGCATGAGCAAGTAAGATCTCCCCCAACGAGGCAGGCAGTCACGGCGGGCTTTTTTTGTCTCTGACAGGTGGGCATCTCCTGGACAGCACAAAGCTTGCAGTGGCAAGAGCTTCTGGCACTGTCGTCAAAGCAACGTGAACCCTTTGAATTTGGCTTCTAGAAACGTGGACACGATCCTTTTCCAGACACCAGCCGCTGAGGTAAGGGAGTTCAGGCTTGTTCAGCTCGGGGCATTAGGCTGCTTTGTTGTTGTTGCTAGTAGTAACCGTCAGCAGGGCACCCTGTCATTCTTTATCAGCGGGCCCTGATGTAGTCCCTTCTTTAGCAGGAGTGGCTAAGGCTCTAAAGTCCAGCAGACCAGGGATCAAATCCTGGAATCACCAGTTTTTAGCTGTGTGGCCTTGAGACCTTTCTGTGTCTCAACTTCCTCCTCAGTCAACCAGGGAAGCAATAACACCCACTTTCTGGGTTTGTGGTGAAGATAAAATAAGGTAACATGTGAAAAGGACTTAGAACAGGATGGACACCCAGGTAAGCTCAGAACCCAATAAGTGTCAGCTGTTACAGTAGTGTGCCTGCCCTGTCAGCTTGTAACTAGATGAGTCTCACATGGATGGGGTGGAGTCCACATTTGCACTGGAATGTAGACTCTGTGAGGGCCAGGGGCTGATCTGTCTTAGGTGAATCCTCAGGTCCCAGCAGAGCAAATAGGCCATGTTTGTTGACTGCCTGGATGTGTGAAGATGCTTTGTCTATAGTATGCATGCGTTAGTTGGGATATGGGTTTGGTTGTGTGTAACAAAATCCCAAAGCCACGGTTCCTTAAACAAGAGAAGATGCTTTTTCCTCAGTAACACTGAGCTAAGGAGTTTCTTCTACAAAAAAATATTAGAGGCCAAGTTTCCTTGTCCTTGACTCCTCCATCCACTTGTCTACGTGATCCGCGGTGGCCCACGGTGGTGTCTCCATTCTGCTCAGCAAGAGGGAAAATCAGGAAAGGAGAGGGTGCCCCATCCTTTAGAGGGTGCACAGGTCACTTCCATTCGTGTCCCATTGGCCAGAACGTAGCTCTATGACACACCTGGCTGCCAGAGAGACTGGAAGTTCGAGTCTTTATTCTGGGTGGCCATCGGCTCCAGTACAATCTTGAGAAAAAGGAGGAAGGAATGCAGGCAGACAGAACAGCAGATGCACTCTAGTGGGCAGGGGGTGGGGATAGAGAGCAGGCAGGAGGGCTGATTTATCCCAAACAGGTCCTGCCTGTGGCCTCTGACCAGTAGACCTCAGTTCGTGGATTGGGTTTTTGGAAGTCACACACGTTCACGTACACAGAGTCACACACATTCAAATACACACAAGCACACACATTTATATACACACATACACAAAAACACATGCCTACACATACACACATACATGCACCGCACCATCTCAGTCACCCCGTATCAGCTTGCCTTGGGGTCCCCTCCACTTGCTCGAAGGGCCTTTACCTTCTTCCCTTCACCCCATTCCCACTCCCACCCCCATGCCCTGGCTGGGTAAAGTTTCTTCAGCTACTTTAGCATTTATTTGCTCTCAGAGGCCCCAAAAGACTGGGCCTATGACAGCTTCCTTTCCAGAGGAGCAGCTATAGCTGCGGTGTCCTTCCCCACCCCACCCCCCGCCCCCTCAGCCACCACTTCCTGGGGACTCTGAGAGGGAGGGGAAGAGGGGGGGGGCACTGACTGAGTGGCAGCCCATCTTCCAGGGCCCCAAGGGCTTGTGTGGGGTTCCAGGGCAGAAGCGAGCGGGCCAGCCTCTCGGCCCCAGCTGACGTCCACCGTGGCAGCCCTGTGATGCATTTAGGGTGCGGTGTATGATTTCATTTGAAAAAAAAGATTGCTCTGCAGAAAAAAAATAGATGGAAAACCGCAGCATATGCTTCTGCCTCCCAGGCAATTGGCTGAGTGATTTTTAAGATCTGTCCTTTGCTTGATTTAGGTCAACCACAAACCTTCTTGGCCTTCACATCTCTCTCTCTCTCTCTCTCTCTCTCTCTCTCTCTCTCTCTCTCTCTCTCTCTCTCTCTCTCTCCTCTCCTCTCCCCCCTGTGGATTCTGCAGCTCTGACTCACTAGGCAGACAGCTCAGTGTTCAGCATCACCCTGCCTTATATGGTGTGCTCAGTGCTCCCGGGGCAATGAGTATTCATTCATTCCTTTCTTCAGCCAGTGACTGTGGAGTTCTTATTGTGTGCCAGGCACTGTTTCATTTGCTGTGGATTGAGGGGAAACATGGCTGAAAGGGCCCCACTCTCAGGGAGATCTGCTGAGGGCAGGGTGTCTTGCCCCCAGGCCCTTGTCCAGTGTCTCAAGCAATGCTTAATTACAGTCGGACTTGGTGGATGTTTGTCACTTACTTTTCACACTATTATAATCCTCACCCAAGGCTATATTTTTTCCATTGAATTTTTTAGAGAAAGTGGAAGGGAGGGAAGGAAGGAAGAGGAAGGAGGGAGAGACGGAGGGAGGAAAGGAGGGAGGGAGGGAGGGAAAGAGAGAAAGAGAGAGAGAGAGATCCATGTGAGAGAGACACATCACTTGATTGCCTGTTGCAAGCGCACAACCAGGACCAGGTATCGAATCTGCAACCCAGATACATGCCCTGGACCAGGAATCGAATCCATGACCCTTTAGTACACAGGCTCCTGGAGCTTTGCATACGCCCGCCCTTTCCTGTGCCTGAAGTTCCAGGGAAATCCACCCCAGCGAGTTGACCTTGTACCCAGGTGGTTTGAAGGGAAGGGTTGAATTTTCTGGCTAAGCATTAAACAAACTAAGTATTTTGGAGAAGATTGGCTCCCGCTGGGCATGGATGATAGGGCTATGCTTCCTTCTCACCTCCTTTAGTGCCTCTGGATCCCGAATGGCAAGGAGTTTTGGATATTTTTGAAGGATGCAAACCCTACAAATTGGAAGGTGCTGGGGGTGGGCAGTCTGCTTGGTGCTCCCCTGGTCCTTTGCTGGGGGCTGTGAGCCCCTCACCCTCTGCAGTCGCCCTCGCAGAGCTGGGCATGCCAGGGGCTTCCATTCGTGGCCGGTGGATGGGTAGACAGATGGCCGGATTACAGTGGCTTCACCATGCTACATGCTTCCCTTGCCTCGGTCCAAGTGTCCAAGGGGGTTGGAGGCACTGGTCACAGTTTGATTTTGGCTCCTGGGCAACAGGAGTGGTTTTCAAGTCACGGAGGGGACACAAAACAAATGGCTCTCGAGCTTGTCACTTCCTCATCTTGGCTGCGGGAGGCGGTGTGGCGTGTGCCCTGATCTGAGGCTGAGAGCTTGCTCAGACCCCAGCTCCGAGGCTGGGTGTCCTCGGGCATGTTATTCAGTCTCTTAGATTCTATTTTTCTCATCTAGAAAATGATAGCACTAATAGCAGCCGGCTCCTGGGGCTCTGATGAGCATTAGATTAAATAATGGGTGTTAAGATGAGGAGCAGAGCTCTGCGCGCGTGGTGAACGCTCCGGAGAGGATGCTGACGGCTCGCGTAATGACGCCCGGAAGCTATGCGTTGCATATACGTCTTTCTTCCAGACATGTTTTTGCAGACGGCTTTGCACGTTTAAGGCAAAAATTATTTTTAAAGTTGTTATTTCAGAAGTACAACATGCTCCTTAAACATTCAAATGATCCAGAGAGACTTAAATTAAAAAGCAAATGCAGCCTCCTCCCTCCCCCCCACACCCACCCCCTGCCCTCACGGCCAGCTCTCTCGTTCCCTTTCCCAGCAATGTTCCAAGTCAAAGTTTTTTCCTTTTTTTTTTTCCTTCCCAAGGGGAGGAGACAGGTATGTAGTTAGGAGGGGACCGTGGCCAGTCCAGGCTAGTTCTAAGGCCGGTGCCTCGGTGGTTCGGTTGGACCCAGGCACAGCCTGACTCCCGCTTGCTCTGACCTGAAGGGTCCCCAGTGTCCTGAGTCCAGGGGAGGGGTGTGAGGCATGTCACACTAGGGCCAGGCCTGGAGGGGCAGGTGCACCGACACTGTTTCTGGCCGCATGCCCGGAGGCCCTGCTTCTGCCAGAGCCCCAGGGCTCAGTCCAATTTCAGAGGCCTTGTTCCTGGCAGGGTGATCACTCACCTCCGATCTGTGCCTTCTGCTGCCACTCTCCTTCCCTCATCAGAAAGAGGCCAGGGCCTCCCCAGCACACGGCCCAGAGCATCGTTGGTGCTCCTGGATTGGGCAGGCTTGAGTTTTACCAACACTAGGGTGCAAACTGCCATCTGCCTTCATTTCTCCAGATCTGACTGCTGCTGACCCCCCTTTTGCCCATTTGAAGGACATTCGATCCCAGTCCCATCGGGACGGGAAGAGACTGGCCCCCTAGGATTGTGTAGGATACTTGGGGGCCTTTGTGCGACCCAGAATGTGGTGGGGAGGCTGCTTGGCTTCAGAGCACTCAGGACCCCACAGAAAGATTCATCTGCCAAGCCTCAGGGTCCAGGGAGGGCAAGTGGGCAGCAGCCACTTTCATGCCAACCTCGGCATGCAGTCTTTGGTCACACCTGCGGGCAGGAGTTTGGGTGTTGAGAATCGCAGCCTCTCTCAGGCACCTCAGGGTCCTGTCACCTCTTGGGAAGGCTGTTCAGGGATCAGGGCACGTGAGCCTGTCACTGTTGGATCCCACAAAATCCACTTCTCCTTGTTGACTCCAGCAATGTCCCTCCACTCCGGCACAGGCTCCACCCTGTGTTCTGACTCCCGGGCTCCAGCCTGTCTTCGGCCCATCGCAGGACCCAGGGACTAACCACCATCTTGGAAGGGGAGAGAGAGAACGCCCACAGCAGAGAGAACCAATCAGAAAGGTTGTCTCCGCATATCTTCCTGCCTCCACATTGGCTACCACAGATGAAGCAGTACCTCCACTCCTTTGTTGATTGAGCACCAACTATAAACCAGATTCTTCCAGAGACCGGAAGGTGAAATGTCATACAAGGTGGACCTCAAAGGGGTTAGGGTTTCACTAGTGGTTCTCAGGTGTGGTTCTCACACCAGCAGCCCCAAACCTGTTAGAAATGCAGATTTTTCAGACTCCCACTTCCCCACCCTCTAGTGAATCAGAGGCTGGGGGTTGAGGTCCAGCAACCTGGGCTCTGCCAAGCCGTCCAGGGGACTGGGATGCAAGCTCAAGTCAGAATCACTGAGGGTAACAGGCAGGTAGCA